CACAGCAACGTTTTCTTTTATACAACCAAATGAAGTGTAATATGATGCTAAACAATTTTATTCTGATGGATTGAACGATGAATTAACCACTGGTAGACATTAGTGCTGCTCGGATAATGGATTTATTGAACTTAACAACATTAACTCTGCCCTCGTATATAACAGGTGTTCTTCTAAGTGCTTATCAATGAGTTAATGAAAAAGAATATACCCGATTGTTATGGAGCTTACAGTCTAGCATGGAGAAGAAGGGACATAAGGAACCACTAATTTAATAAACTTGAATAAGTAGGCGGAGAGGAACAATGGCATGGACAAATGAAAATTGGACAGAAAGCATAAGCGGGACCGACACTTGAAGGGTAGGCGATTCTGCCCATTACCATGCTGGCCCCACCACCTCTTAAGCCTTCCAACTCTGCACCTTACTTGAGAGCCTTAACAGGTCCCCGCCAGCATATAGTCTGCTTCTGGACAGGGAAAAGAAGGAATTTAACTGAATGGCAGTGTGTTTTTTTCTTACAATCAAGAGCCAGCTTTAGCATGTTTTTGAATTAATAAGGTCCTTCCCTAGAGTTGGCTCATTCTCCCAAGGGAACTACCTAGTGTGTTTACGAGAAAATTTATATTTAACATATTGTTTAAGCTCACTAAGCAAAGCTTTTCCACTGGACCAGGCAGTTGACTGCCCATAGAAGTAAGGATGAACAGAAAATGAAAGGCTGGGTTATTAACACCTGTGAGCTAGGGTCATAGAAACTGCCCTCCACAAATAGCAGGACTGAGTACTCTCCACTACGACCACGTTGACGACATCATATCGTTGAGGTACATAACCAGCAGGGAGTTTCAGTGAATCCAAGGTGAAAAAGATTTTGTTGTCTATCACCCCATGTCTTCCATGGACACTAGTAATGCTGACCTGTGAGGGGAAATGATGGAGATGAGTGGGGAAAGCATAGCACATGGTAACCGCCTCTGCACCTCCTCACTCTGGCTGTCACCTGCAGGCCACTCCGCCCCTACCACTTTCCCAGCCTGCCAGAGGCACTGGCAACACCCGGGGTCTCTGTAAACACACGTGTCCCCAGGTCACACTTCACCCCAGTACTATCAGAGTCCGTGGGAATAGGCTCTCCGTCTCAGATGAGAAACCTTGCTCTAGATTTGACCCACCACGGCCATTCACTGTATATCCTACTCATTTTCAGGCTGCACCACCCAAGGCATGGCCCAGCTTTTACTTGGATGCTCACAACCCACCACCCACTGCATTCATTCTTTCCCCCACAGCATTCCTGCAAGCAAATTGTTCTCATAACTGTTCATCTCAGAACATCGTAATACCCAATTAACTACATAATGTGGAAATCAATTATATGCATGTTCAACATTATTGCATATTTATTTCCTTTTAGAAGTCTTTCCTTTTTAAGAAGTAAATATGCCCCTTTTGGCAAAGAATATATTTTCTTGTTTTCCAACCACACTCAGTAGGATCCCAGACAACAAAGTCAGCCTTAAAGGAACAATTGACAGAAAGTAATGTCAAGTGCAACATGGAAACAAATTACCTCATCCACATGCCTAGAGTTCATGGACTTCACTGAGTATGCCTTGATGTGCGATATGCCTGGCTCTGTGGAATACACAACCTCCAACCAGTCACCCTTGTAAGGCACAAAACCTAAACCAACCATGGAAAAAAGTGAGTGCAATTACCTCATCCCCAAGGTCATGTGTAATTTCACAGCTTCCTCCAATGCTGTAATACCCCACATACCTTCTATTGGATATAAGTCCATTTTGTATATGTTTAAGACAGACACCTTATAAATATTTCTGCCAAAAGAGAAGTTTCCAATCCTTTCACCATTAATTCGCCTCTACTGTGCCAACTTCTTTGGTGCAGCACAGGATTTATTAATCAACTGGTCACATTCACAGCTCCTTTGGCAGGGGCAGTCTAGTGCATAGGTGAGAGCACAAGGCTGAGCCTGACTGCCTGCCAATACAGCTTTAGATGTACACAGAAACTTAGAACGTATCTACTGATTTCTAATAGAATTCACCAGTGAGCATACATAAACACACACACACACACACACACACACACACACACACACACCAGGCTACGAGGCTATCTCCAAAGTTAATTTGAAGCATTTGATATATGTTGAAAATAGTAAAAAGTAAAAGATAATAGTATCCTTTACATTGTAGAATGTTTTCATCAATTAGAAATTAAACATTTTTATTACTGAAAAATGTATACAAGGCATTAATGATTGTATTCACACATAAGAAATCACAGCAGCGATTTTTTATAAATATCACCTATTTGTTTCTCAATTATCTATTATTTTATTTTCAAGTACCCAATTCACATATTTAGAGATGCTAACTGGAGCCAAGTATATAATAATATTACCTCTTATACTATATCTTCGTAAAAACGTAAAATCATACCTTCACAAACAGTATCTAGGCGGAAGGAAGTTTCTTTATTAATGTAGACAATACCCTCTGTTACAGCGGTGACACAACCAATTAGAACATTTATTTCAGGTTCTGATGATCCAGAGTCAGCAAAATGATCATAGACAGCCTCCATCTGTAAGATACAGAGTTACCCCAAATAAAATAAAACTTACCATAATAAGAGGACCTTGTATGACTCCTGAAGAAGCCCCATCAGAGCAACTACTTCACCAACTAGCCTGTCACAGTTGTATGGATTCTTACAAGATAAATAATTCTTACATCAGAGAATAAGGACTATTATTCACAGCAAAAACATCCTGGCCCAGCCTATTCACACTCTGGTGTTCAAGAAATATTTTATACAATCCCCCTCAATACCAGTCCAGATATTTCACTTGGCAAATACATCATGGATATGAGATGATGGTAAAAATAATATCTGTGCATCATGGACTGTTAAACTGCATACAGTATGTTCATTGTGCATTCATGTATAATGCCTTCACAGCATCATGTCCAAAGATTAAAAAAAAAAATGCAGTGGCCGCAGGGCCCATGGAGTGCTGTGTTTGAGGGGTGTTTGGGCTCTCAAGGTCGGCGAGGCCTTTTACTTTCCCAAGAGTGGCTGACAGAAGAAATGAGATGTGGTCTGAGGGACAATATGACTATGAAAGACTTCCAACAGAACAAGTACCTCCTCAGACTGATCCCATTATTGTTGCATGTGCACATAGCACCAGAAAGGCATATTTGGAGTCTGTATAGATATTCTAATTTCAATGCCCAAGTAAGAGCTATTACCCTCGCATTTTACTGGTCTTGGACAAAACTACTTCCATCAATGAAGCACACCACTTCAGGGTCTTGGAGGGGCAGGTCGCTAATGTCCTGTCTGTTTGCATAGGTCTGGGAGATCACTTGTTCTGAAAAGTGTCTAGCATCTAGGCTTGTAGGCATTAGAGACAGGATTAAGAGCAGTGCAAGTTTTGCCCAGGCTCCTAGGGCAGAGAAGCTCAGCCAGTCCCAGCACCTGGAAAGAAGCTCCCCACCTCCAGCCCAGGCTCCTAGGACAGAGGTGAGCCAGTCCCAGCACCCGGAAGGAAGTTCCCCCACCGCCATCGCAAGCTCCTAGGGCAGAGAAGCTGAGCCGGTCCCAGAACACTGAAGGAAGCTCCCCCGCTGCCATCCCAAGCTCCTAGGGCAGAGAAGGTGAGCCACGTGGGTACCAGAAGCACCCCCTCCCGTGGAAATGAGAAGACATGTAAACAAGTCTCAAAAACAGACTTCTGGATCACCTACAGATACCCCAAAGGGAAACGAGATTGAACACTCTGATGCTCAACCACCTGGACTCTCTGAACTGGCAACAAAAGAGGATCTGGGAAAAATGAAATCAGAAATAATTACTCAGATAACAGC